AATCAGTTTTTTATTTTTCATATCTGTCTGTTTGTTTTCTATATTTTTTGTCTTTCTTTTGAAGCCTTATCATGAGGAAGTGGATATCGGTTTATCAATACTGATAGAGAACCGTTTCCGAACGTTTCTTACATAGCTTTTCTCGTTGTTTCCCTGTCTGTTTTCTCAATAGTTCAAAGGTTCGATGGAGAAAAAGGATTTCCATTTTTTTTAGTTTCTTGAACTACAGTATGTCGAAGGCTCACCCGAAAAAATCTCTCGCGGGTCTCGAACGGAATTTTTTCAGAATTGTTTTTTCGCGTTTTTGTGAAATCTGTTCGTCAATTTTTCACCAATTTTTTGCGAATTTGTGTTGGGAAAGTGGAATTTCTACTTTAAAATATTTTTCCGAAATTTTAAAACTCGGAATTTTCAACGTTCTGAACATCACTGACTCAATGCCGTGATCACTAATTTGTGATGCAAACGTTTCGTCAGTTTTGTAACGACTTCCAAAATCCTTACAACAGTTCAGACTGACATTAGTGACGCCAGTAATTTCAAAATCATGCTTATTCACGAAGCTCATCCGTTCACTCTTCTTTTCCTCTGACGAATTCTCTTTTCCGGAAAACAATCAAATAATATATTCTTCACTATCCTAAAACCTTCCTAATCCTTCTATCTCCATGACTTTCCCTATGAGCTGCATTCTCTCTGTCTGTTTGACGAAAGAAATGTTCTAGATGCTTTTTCTAAAAACAGACACACCTCGTGAGCGTGTCGGTGAGCACGAGTCGGCGTATCCATGGAAACTAAACGCATGTGATAAACAAAAGTTCAGCAGTTTTAATTGGATTTTACTCGAGAAATATGCCTTGTTGACTACATTTTCTGTTTCTCAATATTATTGTTTTCCAGGTATGTCGTACAATCAACAGCCGTACAATCCGGCTTACCAGAATCCGTATCCCCAGCAGCAATATCAGGGACAAGGACCACCGCCGCCAGGCTTCAATGTTGGTGGAGGACAGAATCAAGGTATTCTTTTCTAGAAAGTTGTAGAACCGTTTGTTATCATTAAAACGAGCGCTGAAAATCGATTCTTCGAATTTAATTTCAGGTTATTCAGACGGGCTTCCGTTCTAGAATAACCGTAACAGTTAAACCGTTCGTAATCAACAATGCGAGCGCTGAAAATCAATTTGCAGTTTCTTTAAAAAATTAATAAATTCAATTTTTAGGTGGAGCCTACTTCCCACCACCACCACCAATGCATCACGGGAACTTCAATCAGATGGAAAACGGACATAACGGAGGTGGAGACAACGACGGAAAGTATTCGTTCCAATTCTCCGATAAGACCATCCGTGCCGCGTTCGTTCGTAAAGTCTTCAGTTTGGTGTTCATTATGGTAAGAAAATTTGAATTCAGACGATTTTAACCAACAATACGATTTCTGTTTTCAGTTATGTATCGTTGCCGCAGTCACAGTTGTCCCATGGGTCCACGATCCGACGATGAAGATGGTCCGCAGAAACACAGGACTTTACCTGGGATCCTAGTAAGTCACAGAGTTTAATTTACTGTATTTAAATCTCCTATTTTCCAGTGTCATCTTTTTCATCACCTACTTGTCGTTGGTTTGCTGTGAAGGAGTTCGCCGGAAGTTCCCAGCTAATCTCATTGTGACTGGAATCTTTGTAAGAAGTTTTTGGTAGTAGCTGTAAGTACAGTTTTTGTTTTCAGACACTCGCCACCTCCGTCATGACAATGGTCATCTCAGCGCATCACGATGCGAACGTCGTTTTGCTAGCGCTGGCCATTTGCATCGGATGCACTCTGTCGATTATTGCTTTCGCTTCACAGACCAAATTCGACTTGACTGCGTAAGTGTACCAAAGAAGTTTTCCATTTTTTTTTGTCATTTCCAGACACATGGGATACATCTTCATCATCTCCATGTGCTTCATGATGTTCGGATTGGTTGTTATCGTCTGCTCGATGTTTTTCAGAATCAAGTTCCTCATCATGGTCTACGCTCTCGGAGGAGCTCTCATTATGATGCTCTACCTCTTCCTCGATATTCAGATGATGATGGGAGGAAAGAAATACGAAATTTCACCGGAAGACTATATCTTCGCCGCCGTCCAAATCTTCATAGACATCGTTCAGATGTTCTGGTACCTTCTCACTCTCTTCGGATCCAGGTAGGTATTAAAATAAGGGGAACTACACTAGTAGTTATTTCCAGAGACTGAATCGTCTTTCTCTATCACGATCTGTGTGGTAAGGCGGTTGATTTTGTGTGTCATATCAGTTTTAATTTTCAAAATAGTAGCTGTAGATCAAGGCTTCCATTGTGGTCGGTAAGAAATCGACGACAGCCGAGTGACCGGTCAGCTCGGTTGGCTGTCGATCGACTGAGTCGGCGGTCGGTCTTTCGGCTGAAATTCCCGACCAAATGGAAACCTTACTGTAGATCGTATACTAACAAAGACTATAGTTCAGTTTCGATGTTGTGCCCGTTCAAATGGTTCTGATGATAAAAATCCGTTTTTTTTCAGTGATTAGACAACGACCTTTCCTACCATCGATCTACAACGTCCAACTCCTTTCCTTTCTTCTTTTTTTAGTACGATGCCGCGTTTTTACTTTTTTACACACTGGTAGTTCGATTTCGTCTTCTTCTCTCTCTCTTCCTCTGTCCCTTGAATGCCTAATTGCTTCATTTTCACCCTCTGTCTCAAGAAAAAATTGAAAAAAAATCTTAACCGTTCTTGGATTGTCTCTGTCTCTTCTCACACACCACTAATGTTCATATTTATAAGCAAGAAACGCATTTTTTGTGACATGAAAAATATTATTTTTGAAAAAATAAAGCCAATGACAGTATTTACAACAATAAGAAGTTAATGATAATTGATCTAACGACCTCTTCCGAAGATGTTAAGAAGCATCAGGAAGATATTCAGAATGTCCAAGAAGATTTCCATCGCGGCGAAAATGTAGTCTTCTGGAGAGAGCTCATATTTGCGACCGCCCATGAGAAGCTGAAAAACTAGTTTTTAAAAAAATTTAGCATAAATTTGACATACCTGCACGTCAATTGCCAAATAGAACATCATCAGAAGAGCGGCAAGACCAGAGTAAACAGAATATAAAAAGTACCATTTGAAGGCCAAAGTGAAGATTAAAGCAAACATTCCAAAAGAGAAGAGGACCATCGAAAGCATGAACATGATTCCGATTTTACTGGTTAAGTCACTTTTCGTTTTCATTGCGAAAATGACGACGGATCCACTGCAAACCGTTGTGATGCATAGACAGATCAGAACGGAAAAAACTGTGTAGCAAGCTGTGATGAACATTGTCATAGTGGCAGCTGACAGAGTCTGAAATTCGAATATTTACTGATTAAAAGTTATATTGATCTGCTTATTCAATTTTTAGAATATACCAGCCGCGCCTCCGGCGCTTCCTACATTTGGCTGGTGCGCCTTCGGCGCGAAGTAACCTATTTCTTTTTCTGTCGCTTGGCTCCACACTTTTTTAATGTCACGTCAAATTAGATTTAATTTTTAAGCTTTTCAAAATGTACGGATAGAGTAACAGACAGAGAAACGCAACTTACAGCAAATTTTCTCCAGTTTGAAAAAGGTTATACTTTGAAAAATTGCTTAGGAAATAACTCAATCAACATATTTCAGTAACCTACAATTTATGTTATAAAGACTTCCTTGATAAAAATGCCCCTCTAAAAGAAGAGCTCGGTTGAAAATGCTGTTTGAAATTAAACCTTTCCATACGTTTTCAGTGAAAAATATAACCGAAACTCAAAAATTTACAAAAAAAACTGTTTAAAAAACTTTTTTCCTTGGATTCTCAAGAACTTTGAACGAGAATTCGTCGCATTTTTCGGTGAAAAATATTGGAAAAAATGGCTGGAAAAAGGGCCCCTCTAATAGAAGGGCCCTCCTGAGGTACCTTGGAACAATAAAGGGTCAACACCTTCTAATACAGATCTTACGGTATTTTACTTTTTTAAACTTACAAAAATAGTGAGTAGAATAATATTAGTTGGAAATGTCCTTCTCAGATTACCACAACACGACAAAGCGATGGAGACTACCAGGAAGACAATGCTGAAAATGTCATGTTTCCAATGAATTCTACAATTTCCACAACTCACATTGCAATTAAATAAACCCAGAAATTATTGTTTACCCATTCCCGAAACGGTTTTGATGCCATAGGGATTACGCAGAAGGCTGCTGTGATTCCAAACTTAAATTTGAATTGTTTTTGTTCAGAATACTTTGATTCTATTGATTACCATGATTGTTACAAGCATGAAGACTTTTCGGACAAACGCCGCTCGGACGGATTGGTTTCTGAAAAAATTAAGATTAGTTAGGTGCTCAAAATAAATAGAAAACTTACGAGAAATGAATACTGTACTTTCCATCCGGGTTGTCATTTGTGGTTGTTCCATAGCCTTGCTCCATTTTTAATCTGTAAAATATTAAGATTACTGAAGATACTGTAGACGTTCCCTTTGAGCTCAATTTTCTCAATTTCTGTAAGAGATATCAAAAGTGGTTAACTAACAAAATGTTCATCATAATATCACAAGAATTTTATTAGTTGATCCTTTTTTGATATCTCTTACAAGAACCGTGTTATATGAGTTCAAAGTGCAAGTACAGGGAGAGAGAGAGAGAGAGAGAGAGAGAGAGAGAGAGGGAGAGAGAGAGAAAAGTAATGCTCTACCACATTTTTTATAGTAATAAATTGGTATTATAAGGAAAACTAGTGCTTCAGATAACAATCAAAAATTTTTGTTGAAAAATGTGGTGAGAGCAAAAAGTATTCTCGGTGACGATTAGTTAGAAAGAGATAGAGAAAGAGAATGGTTTGTTTGCTCACTGGGAAACACGCGGATGGAGAATGAGAGACAACGAGGAGCAATGGAAATTCGAGAAGATTCTGAAAAAAAGCTGTAAATGGAAAACAAAAACCTGGAAAAGGTGGTAATCGAAATGGTACTTATGAATCATTCTCTTTTAAATTTTGGAAAAAGAGCAAAAGTAAACAAAATTGATCCTGGGAAAAAAATTGCGAAAACTGTGGGCTCATTGCTCTCAAAATAGTCCAATACCGATAAATAGGCGTCCAAATATTTGTTTGATGATAGAGAATTTTTTCGATGATTTCATAGAAAAAAGTATGCGAGTACCTATAAATCAAAATACGATTTTTTCGAGAATACATTAAAACCTGTAATAGAAGGGCCTAACGTTTGAGCTCAATTATCTCAATTCCCATTCAAGATATCAAAAATGTTATACCGACAAAACACTTCTGATATTATGATAAACATTTTATCAGTTAACAACTTTTTTGCATCTTTGACAGGAACTGAGAAAAATTGGATCAAAGGTAAAAGTTAAGGGGCCCTTCTACTACAGGTTCTACGTTAATTAACAAACCTCCTAAGTATTTTCGTTTTCAGATTTTTGCAAACAAAATTTTACAAGAGTATGGAAGTTATGGTTGCGAATCGAATTTCGTCTGAATTTGATAACACAGAAGGTGTTTACCACAGTCAGCAAGTTAAGTAACTTTTGGTACCCAGTTGCAGAAAAATTACAAAAAAACAAGAAAAAGCTATCATCAGCAAAATGAGATTTTGAATTTAATAATTTCGAAAATAAACGAATTTCTGGTAGCAACAATGAGCAATACATATTTCGTAATCTCTCTAAAGCATATATTTGAATGAAAAAGGCGGAATATCAGGAAAAAAACAACAAAAAAAAAAGAGAAATATGTAAAAACGGCTATTGACAAAAGACTCAACGCTTCCGAATAACTATTCGAATCACATGACACAACGAATGAAAAACTAGAAAAAGAGGAGCGCTGAATCCTCTGTCCCTCTTTTTAATATTCAGTGATGATTCAGTTTTGTTTCGAAAAAAGAAGTGCGTCACAGTCTCCGTTCTCACGTCTAGTCAGTAATACAGTAAAGATAAAATTTAGGTAAAAATCAAAATCAATTCTGCTTTAATGATGTAGAAGGGAGTAGAAGAAGGCTCCAGTACAAGTGTCTTATCAGTCGGATGATAACGCGAATATTGTCAACTGACTCATTCCCGATGACAATGCAGTTCTATATTTGCATGTGATTTGTGATGACGAAATCAGATTATTTATATGTTATGCTGTTGCGAAATTTTCAGAAGGACCTTTTATTCTGAATATATACAAGTCAATGTTTGTTTACGAAACGAATTTGACGCTGTTGCTTCAGGTAGAAGATGACACTTTTCGTCAGAGTGTACACGTTGTTGAGGACTGCAATACCGAGGATCACTAGGAGAACTGAAAATGGAAGAAAATGAATGAGAGCCTCGAAAAAACAATTTTTTAACTTACAAATTCTTCCAGAATCATCTGGACGAGAGAACATGTTTCTTTCGATGACTCTTTTGTAGAAGTATCTTTCCTTCATGATACACATGACGTAAGCGATTAGAAGACTGAGAATGACAATCAGCAACAAATGGAAAACGTTCTGAAAATTATAATATACAGTAATGTACTGGTCGGCTGATTTTCAGTCATTTTGATCACTTCCAAGAGAGTGGATCTCTACTGTCAAGTTTTCTATCACTTTGAAAGTTTTGGAGGGTGTAAAATGGACCTAGATTGAAAACTTTTCATTCACAGAATTTTTCGAAAAATCCTATTTTTCAGCTATTTTACGATTTCTAAAAGACACCCCTTCTTTGTCCAGTTTTTTCTGAAAACCCGAAAAAACAGATTTTTTTCAGAAATCGGTGAGTAGCTGAAAAATAGGAATTTTCGAAAATTTCTTTGAATGCGAAGCTTTCAATCTAGGTCTGTTCAAAACCCTCCGAAATTTTCAAAGTGATCTGAAACTTGATAGCCGAGCTCCAGACTCCTAAGAATGGTCGAAATGGCCGAAAATCAACCGAAAATATCTTAGTGACCGGTACTGTAGACTCAGAAAAACGTAAAACACTCACTTTAAAGTTGAACTTGGGTCTAGTCCATCCTTTGAAAGGTTTGAACTGTGCTCCACTTTGCGAATATTCCGATTTACAAATTTCACAACTCTTCTTATGCGACATATTCACCCATTTTGTGAGACACTCTTCGTGAACATCTCCCATCTGAATAATCAATTTCGATTCTATTTTTTTTTCTTCCAAAACAAACCGTTCCAGCACAATCGCAGGGTCTGACCATTTCGCCTTCATGCATCTGACAGATTCTACAAATTCTTCTCGGTGATCCAGAATTCGTTTCGGAAGACGATTCGAACAACCATGCTGGACGGAATCCTTGGGGTTGGGGTTGTGGTGACGCTGCCTGTGTGCTTTTCAGAGACAAATAACTGGAACTAGAAATTGCAGCTGAAAAAAAGTTTTCTGAAATGGGTATTCTGAATCTCCTCACTGTTATTAGTAGAATTCGTTTCACTCATATTTATGAAGGAACTGAAATGAAAAGGTTCGATTTTTTAACTTTCTTTGTGGAAAATGAAATGTTAGAAAAATTTAGTTAATGAAAACGCGTTTTTTCGATTGTTGCAAATTTGAGTCCCACGTTTTCCGAATACATGCAAAGGGAGATTGCAGAAAAATGGGGCCGGCCGCCGGGCCGCGGCCGACGGTCCGTCTGCAATGATTTGCGCCTCGAAGACTGATTTCTTCATTAAAGAGCTATTGTACCAGATATTGCTTATGCAACTGATAGTATCTGTAGATAGTGTATTGCCTTTGAAAAAAAATCAATCAAAAATTACAAGTCGGTTTTCCAGGGGGTTCCAATTGTCCATGAACGGTCGGTCGACGGGCCGTCGGAGCTCCTTCGGCTGCAAACTAGCAGTCATCCGTCGCATCTTCGACTATCATTTAGTAGTTTTTTTGCAGTTTTTTTTCACCTGAACATAGTTCCCAAGAGATAACAAAGTTTTTATTAGCAATATTGGTCCGATAATTAGATCACAACTTTAAGCAAATTGTTTAAATAAGCCAAGAGGAAACAATTATTTGGATTTTCAAGATTTCAAATTTTCAGAATTGAACTTTGAGATGAGATGCTCTGCTGAAGCATCTTGTTGGCAACACAGCAGCTCCAGAACCACATGTTCCTTTCCTTTGGACACCTCTCCGTATCTGAAATATCGAACATTTTTCGGAATGTTCCCATTTCACTTGTATACCTAATCATGTTGACAACAGTCACTGAGTACATAACATCAGACAAATGAATGTTGTTCAGAAAGCGAGTACAACTGCAAAAAAAAACATGTTTGTTCAGTCAATGTTTTTTACAGAAAAATACCTTTGTGCACAATCCATTGCAAACTCTTGATGTCTGTTTGTCAGCCTACTCCATCCTTCATTTTCATACTCTTTCCAAACTTTGATTTCTGGTAGAACACGATTTTCCATTTCTTCGACAATTGAGGCAGAACGGGTGAATTTCTTCTTCTTCTCAACGCCTTCTTCACTGGTTCCATTGGCTTCTGGAGCTGCTGGATTCTGATCTGCAGATGGTTCAGCTGGAGGAGCTGATGTGGATTCTGTTTCAGGTTTCGAATCTTCTTGAACAGCTGATAGAACTGGAAGTGTTCTGAAAAAAAAGTTTTAGCTTACGATTTTCGAAGAGAAAAAAACGTACTTCTGTCTTAACACTTTTTTCTTCTTTGGTAGATTCTCCTTATCCGACGATGTCTTTTCTTTTCCTTCCGTTACTGCCTTTTTCTTCTTTTCAACAGAGGACGCCTTCTCCGGTTCTACTTTCTTTACCGGCTCCTTTTTCTTCTCATTCATATCCAAAATCTCATTGATGTGAATAATACCTCCATCCGGTTTCAAAGCTTTACAAGCAGCCAACCAATGAGCACGACACGATGGAAGAAGACCCAAATAAACACGATCTGCAGTTTGATGTGGACAAACACGGCGACAGTCTCCATGAATCACCAAAAGACGATCATCTACTTGATTCACCTGGGCACTTCGAATCAAACTTTCCAGAATCTCATCATTCCAATCAATTGCTACAACTTGTTTCGCTTCACATGACACCAGGAAAGTAAGCGAATAATATCCCAAACTGGCATACATATCGACGATGGTCTGTCCCTGACATGCCCATTTTGAGATTCTCTTCATTTCGGCCTTTTTCGAATTATCGAAGACTCGAACCGTTGCGTTGTAGCAGAACTTGATTCCACGCTCATCGACATAGTCAACCCACGCGTCTGCACCGTGAAGTAGGTCAACATGAGATGTTCTCTCCTCATCAATCTGCCGTTTTCGACCAACTCGAGCCACGTTCAATGACTGAGCAACAACTGCCCATAGCTCTCGGCCTGTAAATTAATCATGGTTATGACGCTTATTGGGGAAGTAGGTAGAACAGGAAGTTTAGAGTAATGAAATCATAACGGAACTGATAAGTTGTGTTTATGATATAAAGAAAATTGTTTGCTAAAAATTCGAAAGCTCAAAACTACTGAAAATCAAGGTTAGGGACTAATTAATTGTGGCTACTCCCAATGAAAGTGACCCGAATCGGAATTATTTTAGAATTTGATCTGCTTGTAAAGGCTTCAGCATAATATCAAGATGATAACTTTTGAACTCAATTCTTTTTAATAATTTTAGTGCATCATTTCAACATTTTACGTTTTAGGAAATACATTGTTTAGCTTCGAGGTATCCAGTTCTTATTCTAATAGATTTTACCAGTAGTTTTACTCCCCTTGCCCGGACTCAACCTACTGGCTTCCGCTTACTGTATCTTATCAATTATTAAGTGATTCTCGAAAAAAAAAAACAATATTTCCTTTTTTCTTTTATTACTTTGGTTTTCACAATCACACAAAGTCGAGAAGTGAAATAAGACTCATCACACGGGTTTTGAACTACTTTTAGTCTTCGAAATGACCAAAAGATATTTCTTCAAAAGATGAGGAAATCTAAATATCCTAGAGATTGTAAAAGTGATTCAAAAAGAAGTAGAACATGAATAGCACCGAACCATGTATACAGGAAGTGGGGGACCACGGGGTTCCAGTTATCCGTCAACAGTCCGTTGACGGCCCGTCGTTCCTCCTTCGACTGCCAACTATCAGTCAATCGTTAGTTTGCCTCTCTTCTGTCATTTAGCAGCTTTTCGGGAGTTCCCTTTTACTTGATTAGTCAGGCTAGCTACATTTTTTTTTCAAATGCTCAAAGATTTTTTCAAAATTCCAATCGCATTCTCACCAATGTATCTCCAATTGATATGAGTGAAGGTATTCTGGGGAAAAACAATCATATCCCCGTGCTTTTCCCATTTCTTTGGCAAATCTCTCTGCATCTCGTCGTCCCATAACGACTTGCTCAGTGCCAACTTTCTGACCTACAAAACACAAACTTTAATTGTTTCTCGTTTCTTTGATTCTCATTACATCTTCGAGCATCTGGCCAAAGTTCGATGCTTTTGCGAGGACACCATCGCTCGTCTTCGTCGTAAACTCGACGTTCTTTCCATGAGTTGGTCACGAGAAGGTCCGGAAGAGAAGTGGAATCCGGAGGGGAGAGCTGAAAAAATGAAAATGACGGATTGTGGTGGACGGGCGAAAAGAAAGGTTGTGATAATTGAATAACATATGAACGCCTATTAATTTTCAGCTAGCTTCCCGTAAACACTCAAATAGAATGGCACCCAAACTGTCAAATTTGAACCCATTTATATCATTTCCTGTGGAAGATATCAAAAAGTGGTTAACTGACGAATTGTTTATCATAATATCAGCAAAATTATATTAGTTCACCACTTTTCAATAGCTTCTACAGGAAATGAGATATATGGGATCAAAGTTGACGGTTCGGGTAGAGTTCTATTAGTCTGTTTAGGGTAACTGATTTCAGTTATTCTTATGGTATCGGAACTGCATAATTTGACTTCAAGGGAATAAAATAATAGAAATCCTCAAACTCAAAACCTAAAAATCTGAAGAAAAGAAATCCTTAAGGAATTCGAAGAAAACAAAAAGTGAATGGATCACGACAATGTAACTGAATCCTTCATTGTGTTCTCTTTTTTTTCCTATGCGCTAAAAACTGAAGTCGAAAAAAAACATGGTATCCTGGCCGGTGGGTGAGACATATTTTCGTCAACTCATCTTACCCGGGAGCCCCTCTTTATTCTCTCCCATCGGGATGTGTGTGGCAAACAATAGAAAGTGTTGGTGGATAAAGAAGAGAATCCAGAGTCATCTCTCGTTTTCCAAGAGTCTCATTTTGTTGCCGATCGGGAAGGATGAGCACCTGCGTCTCTTCGACTGACCACGTTCTGGAGAAGCACACTCGTTATCATTCGAGTAAAAACACTTGAGAGATCCTCTGGGTGGGTTGGGGGAAGATTAGTGAAATTTGCATAAGAACGAAAATGAAGTTTTGAAAAAAAAAGAAAATGTATATAAATAATAGAGGAAAAAATAATCTGGGAAGAATTTTAAATCAGGTAAAATATGTCTTCAAGATCAATAAATATAAACTTCGTTTTTCATGATTGGGATGGGATAATGTGTTTTACATTTACCGAAAAATCTGTAATAGAAGGGCTCCTAACTTTTAACTTTGGTCCAATTTATCTCGGTTTCTGTAAAAGATATAAGAAAGTTGACAACTAGTAAATTGTTTATCATAATGTCGCAAACATTTCATCAGTTGACACATTTTTGATATCCTGCATATGTTGCAAGAAAAAACAAGCTAAAACTTTCCAATGTAGGGATCCTTCTATTACAGGCTTACGGTAACTTATATTTATCGTGAACTCACAATCAACTAGATCGCATAGAGAATCTATTGTAAATTTAATGTGACCTTCGTGAAAGCTTAACGAAATATGGGGCGCTGTCCAGTATTCAGAAAAATGAGGAAAACAATCAGTACTCGGTTTGAAACGTTCAAGTTTCAGGAGCTTCTTGATCCCCTCTTTTCCCTGCAGGTGTCCCAATTTCAAAGACGTCAAGGACAGCTTCAGGATTCAATTTCAGATACACAGGATTAGCAAAGTCGAATGAAAGGTAAGGAAATGGGAATTGGTAGTTAGTTTCCAATTTTTCAATTCTAGGACCTTATTGGTATTCGGGGTGCAGCAACTTCGAAGACGTCGTGGACAGCTACGAAGGCAGTTTCAAGGATCGGAAAGTTTCGAATTCAGATGACAGAATTGGCGAGGTACAATGAAAGGTGAGGAAATGGGAATTGGTAATTAGTTTCCAATTTTCAAATTCAAGGAACTGCTTCGTTCCAGAGGCACACCAACTTCCGGGACGTCAAGGGCAGGTGCCAGGACAATTTGCAGAATCGACAGGATTCGACTTCAGATGACAGGATTAGCAGAATCGAATGAAAGGTAAGGAAATGGGAATTGGTAGTTAGTTTCCAAATTTTCAATTCTAGGACCTTCTTGGTATTCGGGGTGCAGCAACTTAGAAGACTTCGTGGACAGCTACGAAGGCAGTTTCAAGGATCGGAAAGTTTCGAATTCAGATGACAGAAGTGGCGAGGTACAATGAAAGGTGAGGAAATGGGAATTGGTAATTAGTTTCCAATTTTCAAATTCAAGGAACTGCTTGGTTCCAGGGGCACACCAACTTCCGGGATTCCGAGGGCGAAGCCAGACCAGTTCCCAGGATCTGCAGGATGCGAATTCAGGTGGCAGGAATAGCGAAGTCGAATGAAAGGTGAGGAAGTGGGAAGGGTAATTTTCGAAACTTTCTCTGGTGGGAAATCTCGTTATCCCGCTTATTTTTTTAATTTGTGAGAGTCCTTCTGTAAACTTTTGGTAGACAAATCCGCTGCAACTTTTCGCGGGTTATTAGAGCACTAAAACACCTAATTTTAAAAAAGTGACAAAAAATATGAGAAAATCAGTATTAGTTTGCAATATATAAATTCCAGGAGCTGCTTGGTTCCCGGGACAACAATTTCCAGGACTTCAAGAACGGGTGGCAGGATCGGTAGGACCCAAATCCAGATGACAGGGTTGCAGAGTATGATGAGAGGTGAGGAAAGGGGAATTCATAACGTTTCGGAATTTTCTCGTGTCATTATGTCCCGTTAGAAAAAACAGAGTCAAGTTGTAAATTTTCGAAAAATTATCCAAATTTAAAACTTATCCGAAAGTCAATTTTTCGACATTTTCGAAAAAAAAAATCAACATTTTACGGGTTTTTTAACGGTAAAATATAAAATTTTCACGAAAATATATTTTTTTCATTCCGAAAAAAAGTAAATCGATCACTCAAAACTTTTAAAAGACATAATACTGTCACGCAAAAACTAAAAAATCTCGTAAAAACCGAAATTTTCATTGGCCCCTATCTACTCCTATATACTTTTTGCAAAAAATATATTTTTGAAAAAATTTAAAAATTTATTTTTCAGAGGCAAGAAAAATGAGAAGTTTCTATGAATAAGTTTGATTTCAGATTTCGAATGACACAGGACCGGAGAAGTCGCCATCGGGATGTCAAAACGTTTTGAACTATTTTTTTTTGTGATTTTTTTTCTTTGCGTTTCTTGCCCGCTCCCTCAGCGATGGTTTTTCGTGGTGTCGTCAGGGTCATGTGTTTTTGGTGTTCTAGTTTTCCGGTGTCTTCGGTGTTTTGTGGTGTCTTCTGTGTACTAGGTTTCGGTTCGGTGTCTTTGGTGCCTTCAGTGTTCTAGTTTTTGTATTGGTCCTTCCGGTTGTATCTCAATATTCGTTCTTTGGCGTTAGAAGTTGTTTCTGGGTAACGTATTTTGCGCGTGGCTGGTATACTGAACAAAAATTTAACAGAAGGCGTGAAAACAAATAAAAATGTTAATTGTATCTCTTAATAAAGTTATTTAAAAAATGTAATGAAAACTTCAAAACTTCAAAGTTGAATACGGTGTAAATAACATACTTGTGGAAAAGATGGCCGGCCCGCGGGCCGGGCCGGGCCATGGCTGGGCTGAGATTTTTCTGAAAGCGGGCCGGGCCGGGCAGGAAAAAATTACACATGGCCGGTCCGCGGGCCGGCCCGCTTTTTGAAAATTTGAAATTTTAGAGCGAATCATCATTGAATGAAAATCCGATTTATTCTGTACAAAACTACAGTACATCTAGTAGAAGCAGGCGATCGGAGTACGATATCTAAACCCTTTTTCGTCTTCTTATCTTGTAAATGTGTAGGAAAAGTTTGCCTCTCTGTTATAAGCTTCACAAAGCAAACATAATTTATTGAAGAATTCCTGAGTTCAAATCTGCATTTCAAATCCTGTTAATTAAAATCTAGAACATCGGATTTTCATATCCAGTTCCAGCCGCCGCCTTCGCATCTTCTTCTTGCATTTTCTTCAACTCTGCAATCATCTGCTGCTCCAAATCCTCCTTGTACATTCTCTCTCGATACTCCACGATGGCGTTCAACTGATGCCACTCTTTAACATCCCAGTATTTCTCCCAACGAGCTGTCATGTGTTTTCGGAGCGGAACACGGTGACAGTAGACACATGAGACACTGAAAAAGATGTTACTTTGATAGTTCAGTGATTTGGGATACTTACACAAGAGCAACGGAAGCCATGAGCATTGCGAATGCCAAAAAGAGTTTAATTTGTTCTTCTTTGTAGTCGTACGGCTGATAAAATCGAGGACGAGGGAAATCATCTAAAAATGAAAAAAAATAGTATAAGGATTCAGAATAGGATTCAGCTTACCTCCACTTGTGAAACGATGACACGATGTTTGAACAACAGTCAAGAAGTTAGGATCATGATTCCAGAGCGCTTTTCCTGTGTGGTTATAGAGGAAGTTAACGAACGCTTGTGGCTGTTTCGCACACCATTTGCTGAGAACCTCATCCGACGTAGAGAACAATTTCAGAGAACACTGAAACTTTTTCCGTTTTTTATCAGCGTTCTGAATCTGTATCCTACCGGAGCTGCCTTGGCTTCCCAAATCACCATATCGTTTTGGGTTGAATTCTTGCGGCCTTCTATGATTTGCAAATGGATTATCGCCTGAGGCTGATACTCGCTCTTGCAGTTCTGACGCATATCTCTGTACAACATGGAGTATCTGAAACACAGATTTACGTGGGCTTTACTGAATTCCGACCTACTTTTCAGATAGAACAAGGTTCAAGTGGGTCTTAACTTCATTGCTTAGGCTGTCGTAGGTTGGAATCTGCTCGGGAAACGCGGTTGTAAACGATAAACTCGTCAGAATGACGAGAAGGAAGATCATGGTCACTGAAAATTTTGATTGATAACGTTATTAGTTTCAGTATGCGACTTTTTGTTTGATGAGCGTTGAAAGAAAATATAGCAAGATATGAGGACGATTTCGGGAAGGGAAACTACGATACTCGAAATTATGGTGTACAGGGCCGCGAATAATTCCTCGAACTCAAGTTTGTATTAGCAAAAAATTGGAGTAAATCGATGTACAGGGCTCAAATTTGGACAATGAAAAAATTAATTCATCAGTAAACTGGCCAAGTTTCAAATTGGACAATCATAAAAATACCTAGGCTTGCGGAATCGCTTTGAAAATTTCAGTAGCTTGGAATCAGACGTAAAATTATAGTTATACCGATTTTCGTGCTTCCAAGATACCTATTTCTAATGATATACCCGTTTTTATCAGTCCGGGTAATTGTGCGCCACCCTGTAAGAGGAGTTCTCAACGAAAGGACAATACTCGGAATCGATGTAAGCCTTTTGAGCCCAATGGGAAACTACCAAATTTTCAATTATCTAAAGATTGTCTAAAGAATGAGTGCACTATACTTAAAACAAGAAACTTTATTTGAGAGCTCTATTTGGTACATTACTCTAGAACTACAGCCAGATTTCTCTATGGATTCCATGGTTCTCAAAAACAAGTACTAAAACAAGCTAGACAAACTTCGGTGATGGTTATTACAAAATTTACATCTGTTATTATTGCAGTTCATAAACTTCTATTTAAGTTATGGATTTCAGAAATACTATCTTTGTTATTGAACTACTCAAGAACTATTCAAGAACTTTCATAGTATGCCATTCGACAAGTTATCAATTCTTTTCTGTCTACAGTCTACAGAAAAGAAAGATCACCGAGAAGTGAAACTGAATGAAGAAGAGCATCCGGTCTCCCAGAACGTGATGATGGCATGGCATACACACATATGTTTCAAATACAATACCAAATAGCACAGAATGATAAGATTCTTCCGCCTTATCGAACCTTATCTTGTGAGTGGTCCACACCAAGTCGTAAATGGCAAGAAGGCACTTATAGAATACGAAGACAAACATAAACGGGTTAAACAAGGATAATAGAGAAGACGGAACTGTTGCTCTAGACGCCTATCATGTTCCTTGTATGACTGGTACTAAGAAAGGGTTCTATAGCTTTCTCTTCTAGCGAAAAACCTACATTGTTATTTTGTTATCATGAAGGAACGTCTCCAGGGATGTGAGAGATTGCCATTATAAAAATAAATACACGTTTGCTCTTAAACACTTTGTCAAACGATTTCTGAAATGAGCTACTATCAACTGATTTGTACCGTATAATCTTGCCTCTTGAACATGATCTTGATTTGGCTGATTTGGAAAAAGTCGCCAGCTCAAACTGGAAAATATCGATGGCTGATGATGTACACCGCTTGTTTTGAGATTTTCTGGGGAACTTTTGATCTACCGGCTGAAATTGTAAGTTGGAGAATGATCTAAAAAGAATTTTTACGCAGAACAGTGCCGTCACATACAACACTAAGCTGGGTGTGAAAATCATTTGATACACCATGTCTAATTTTGAAAATGAACTGAATGGACTCTAAACCCTCAAAGCTACTGTGAAAGCACCAAAAGCAGTGAAAGCACCAAAAAACACGTAACTCAATGGTCACACGAAACGAAAAATGTTCTGGAAGTCATAAGGAACCGTATTCCTATACCGAGAATCTGTCTGTCTAGAAGGAGTATCCCCTGGGATGATTGTATACGCAAAATACCTGATGTCAAGTCGAATAAAAATAAAAACTCCTCTTCACTATTTCCCACTACCTACACCACACTCTTTCCCGTTCCAATGGTTTACCAATTAACTTGCACCTCAATTTCCATCTTCTTGAATCTTGTCTTATTGATGTTGATCTGGAGAAAATCACCACCACAGACAGGGAGATATCGGTGGCTGATGACTTTCACAGCTTGCTTTGAGATTTTCTGGGGGACTTTTTGACCTACCTGCCGAGATTGTGAGTTTCAACTTTTTGTTGGGTGCTGTTGAATATGATGTGAATCCAGATTGCTCATTCTGTCGGCTGCGCATTTGTCGTTTTCCGTATAAACCGGCCTGATTCTTTTCTCAACAATGAATATTCATCATGGGTGGTTCTGATCTACACTGCTATCTTTGGTGCTTCAATGGCTTTGTTCGCTTCTCATTTCGTCTATCGATATGGATCTATTGATCCGTTAGTTGATTCCTTTCACATTCACAAATGTTTCTTCCTTCAGATCTTTCGGGAAAAAGTTTACCTCCGGTTGGAAGCTTGGAATCATTCTTATCTTCCCGGTGATCTTTAGTTTTTGGTGGGCGGGAGCTGTCAGATACTGTTTTTGGCCGAATGAGGATACAAAAGAATACATACGGTACTTGTTAGATTGATGGAGCTCGAAGAATCTCAAATATTTATTTCAGAGAATTAATACATCGGACAGTTGGAGAAGATGTGAAGAACATCAGTTATATTGGTACCATGTTTTATCTGAATTCCGCAACGAACGAGTTGGATTTTAACAACGTTGCCTGGATTGGAGTTTGCCAAATGTTCCTAATGGTGGTATGCAAAACCTAGTTTCCATTAGCATACAGTATAACTTTCAGGGATTTTCCATGGGATGCGTTTTTGGCTTTAGAACTGGCTGTTATATCCTTTTATTAGATCAACTTTCGATTCTTTCTGCAGCAGCTAACAACTTTCAAAAACAACTTTTTTATTCGTTGGTTCTCCAAACTCTTATCCCATTGGTCCTTATGCATATTCCTATTACAATATATTTCCTCTGCCCGATGCTTAACTTGGATCTAGACTTTACAAGTGTTTTCGTTGCATCTACTATCACTTTATATCCTGCTGTTGACCCACTCCCAAGCTTTTTCGTGATCAAAAGTTACAGAGAAGCTATTCTGAGTAAGCCTTAATTTTCACCAGATTTAATTTAAAAAATTGGGTTCAAGTTTCTTCCGAAAAGTGAAAGTGATCCCTCCCAGAAATACAATTATCGGAACTTTTACGCAGAACATTGCCGTCACATACAACACTAAGCTGGTTGTGAAAATCATTTGAGACACCATGTCTAATTTTGAAAATGAACTGAATGAACTCTAAACCCTCAAAGCTACTGATTGTGAAAGCACCAAAAAACACTTAACTCAATGATCACACGAAACGAAAAATGTTCTGGAAGTCATAAGGAACCGTATTCCTATACCGAGAATCTGTCTGTCTAGAAGGAGTATCCCCTGGGATGATTGTATACGCAAAATACCTGATGTCAAGTCGAATAAAAATAAAAACTCCTCTTCACTATTTCACACTACCTACACCACACTCTTTCCCGTTCCAATGGTTTACCAATTAACTTGCACCTCAATTTCCATCTTCTTGAATCTTGTCTTATTGATGTTGATCTGGAGAAAATCACCACCACAGACAGGGAGATATCGGTGGCTGATGACTTTCACAGCTTGCTTTGAGATTTTCTGGGGAACTTTTGATCTACCGGCTGAAATTGTAAGTTGGAGAATGATCTAAAAAGAATAGTTTGAGTGTAAGCAAATTTTGAATTTTGAGATTGCTCACTCTGTCGGATGTGCTTTCATAACGTTCCGAATCAACAAACCCGACTCCGTGCTTGATCCTGAACATTCATCGTGGGTGGTACTAACCTACACAGCCATCTTCGGAGCATCAATGGCAATGTTCGCATCTCATTTCGTCTATCGATATGGATCAATAGAAAAGTGATTTTTTTGACAGTATGTCTTCAATTCCCGTTATTCTAGAAGTTTCGGAAAGAAATTTACATCTGGATGGAAATTCGGTCTTCTCTTCTTCTTTCCTATTCTTTACTGCTTTTGGTGGGGCGCAGTAGTGAGAATTTGGTTTTGGAAGAATCCAGACATGGATGAGTATACTCGGTAGGGTCCAAGAAAAATTACAAATTATGTTATTTTTCTTCAGAGACGTGATCAATAGAACTACAGGACAGCCCATTGAAAACATTAGTTACATTGGTACAAAGTTCTACAATTTCGTAACAAACGGAACGATGACTTTCAATAAACCAGCGTGGATTGGGGTCACACAAATGTGGTTCATGGTGGTTGGTTTAGAAATTTTCTTGAGATTAGAAAAAATCACTTGTAAATGGGGCCCTGGTGGGCTTTCGCGGGCCCTGTCATATGTTTCTTTTAAAATCAATATCTTTGGAGCAACCAAGTTAGATACATATGATAGGACTTGACGAGTGTTTGCTGAACACGCTTTTTAAAGCCCGTTTCGTCTGTAACTTTTTTCCAAAGACAAGATACAGTTTTTCAAATAAAGTATTATTTTGTAGTAATCGCCGTGTTTGATCATGTCTAATTTAGTTGTTCCAAAAATATTGATTCTAAAAGAAACTATGGCAGAGCCGGCGAAGGCCCGCCAGGACCCCGTTTACATGTATGGAAAAAATCGCTTGATTCAGGGAACATCAGTAGGATGCGTGTTCGGTTTTGGTATCATGTGTTATCTCCGTCTATCAAATACCCTTTCAATTGTCTCCAGTTCTTTCAACAACCTCCAGAAGCAGCTATTTTATGCACTCGTCCTTCAAACAATGATCCCTCTTGTGTTAATGCATACCCCGATTACTGTATTCTTCTTGTGCCCTATGCTGAATATTGATACTGATTTTGCTACTGCACTCATTTTGATTACTATAACCTTGTATCCAGCTGTAGACCCTCTTCCAAGTTTCTTCATTATCAAAAGCTACCGTGAAGCGATGCTGGAGATTTTCAGAGCAGTTCTCTGCTTGAACAGTGGAAGCTCTCAAGTTGGGGACAGTGTGATATCTCATCACGGTGCTGTTCCTAAAAACTCGGTAGCTTTAACCAAAATGTCAACTAATCCAAAATAAATGTTTTTTTAATTTTATTCAATTAATGTAACAACTGACCCGTTTAAAAAATCACATAGAAAATTAAAGACATGGGGGCTAATAATACTAACAACGTGCACATAAAATCATCTGATCGTTCAGAATTTCAAATTTCCCGTCGTGATCCACTATCTGAATCCACTGCTGTGTTGGAGATGCTCCGTTGCTCCGCATCAGGTAACGGGCGGAAATCTGCATCGTCGCGGGAATCAGATTCATCCAGACGACGTTCGCGGAGTTGCTTGTCAAGTTTCCATTGAGGTCGCATCAGAATGTGGATGACTCTGGAAAAAATACCGATGGAATGTTCCGAATATAAAATCAGAAACCAACATTTGTCCAATAAAAACCGTCGTCTGGAAACATCCGGAAACGAAAAATGCAAAGCCGGCCCACCAAGTGAGACTCATATTGAAAATGTTGTTGAAGATCAATGATGAGAGAATCGGAGAAAATGAAATAATTATAGAAACAACTGTCAAAAGACGAGCCGTTTCTTCTTTTGCAACCATTCTGGGAAGGAATGATCGATAGGCCGGCTGCATTCCTCCCATGATCAGACCAAATGCACATGCTGGAAAAATATAAGTTCTTCAAATGTTAATCAAAATTCGCTTACTGTAGAAAATGTGCCCTGTTTTCGTGGCGAATGCAGTCAAGAACGAAGTTGCTGCAGACGATGCTAATGCAGCAATAATCAATAGAGAATCCTTTCCGAGCCAATGAGAAAATGTGAGTAGGAGTGGGCAGAGAACCATTCCTAATGTACTGACCAGTTGACGGCTCACTGTGAAATAACTGAACATTTTGTCATTCCAAGCAAAAGGAAGACGCTTTACAAGGAGCAGTAAGAGAGCTGGGTCTGAAAGAAAAGAATTTAAAGAAATTTACCAATTCAAAACAAATTACCGAATGAAAGGAATTCGATAAACACAAATGCCAACGAGACACAGAGACATAATCGGGTCCACCCAGGTCTTCGAACCGTCAGTACTCCAAAAACTGACTCTAGGTATACTGTGAACTGTCGAATACCAGTTGGTTTTGGAGGTAACTCTTCTTCTTCGGTCTCTTCATTATCATTAAATTGATTATAACTGAAATCTTCTCGCTTCGGGAAATGAGTTTCGCGAACGAAGAATATTCCATAGATCAACGCTATCAACGATAGTCCAGTTTCTGAAAATGTTTTTGAACCAAGTCTCTATAGATAAAATCTCTTACGAATGAATGCACACTTCACATAACTCAATGCATGTCTCTCCACTGATATTATAGCAGGAACTGCTAGAATTGAAACGATTAGAGTTCCGCTGAGCATGCCTATTGACTGGATGAATGAAGATAATCCAACACGAAATGGTACTGTAGAAGAACCCTGAAAATGAAATATAGCTTTGTTTTAGAGAAATCGAACGTACTGGTTTCAATTTGTGTCTGCAATCGTCTGTTACAATTGCCAACAAGGTTGCAAAGGTGGTAGCTCCGCCTCCGAAAAGTCCTTGAATTAGCTCTGATAGGAAAAACCAATAATAGACGTTGATCGATTCATAGGTCAAAGTGGCAGATAATGTAAGGAAGTTATTCAGCACCAGGCCGGAAAGAGAGAAAAGAAGAGGTGGTTTTCTTCCGTTTCTATCCGACCAATTTCCAATTAAAGGAGATACGATGAGAGTTGGAATCGTTCCCATTATCTGAAAATCGAATCGTGAAGGGCGGCGCATAATTACCCGTAATAAATTTTGTACTGGGCTCAAATTTGGAGTGTCAAAACTCAAATAATTCATCAGTAAACTGGCCAGGTTTCAAGTTATATGATCAATTTTGAGCTGAGTTATCGCTTGTCAAAGTTGCTTCATCTAATGAAGATCACAACGGCGTGCAAGAACGTTGCGCGGTTCATCTTAATAACACCTAGACTTGAGGAATCGCTTTGAAAAATTAAGTAGCTTTGAACCAAATGTAACATTGAATTTCTACAAATTTTCGTGCTTCAAAGACACTTATGTCAAAAGATATACTCGTTTTTGGCAGTCTGGGTAATTATGAGCCATCCTGTAATGCTCAAACTGAAGCTTTTCAAAACCTCACTTGTAAATAAATCTTGGTATTTGCAATGTCCTTTTCCACATCATCTTGTAGAGTACCGTTATAGGTTGCAATTGATGCACATGTCGACGTAGCATTATGTGCGAGATCTTTGTGTTCCTGTGCTATCTGAACACATCGTGCCCAGTAGGTGAAAAGAGAACTATTGGTTGCACTGAGTCCAAAACCGCAGGTGACCAGAAATAGAATTGGTTCCACATTTATGTTGCAGCTGAAATGTGAAGAAGTGTAATTCTGATTTTGAAAAGAAAAATTACCTATTTCCTCTAATAGAAGACCACCCAAAGCGTCCACTTTGACCTTAATTATCTCGAATGCTGGGGAAGTTACTGAAAATTTTTCAACTTATGAAATAGTGGGGATATTATGATAAATAATATACCAGTTAACAAGTTTTTGATATCTTTCACAGGAATCGAGATAATTGAGCCCAAAATTGACAGTTTGTGTGAGCTTTTATTAGAGTAAATACGGTGATAGGCCAACATGCTCGGAGCTCAGGAAACAAAATCTGCTCAAAATCGAAAGAAAGTGGTAAAAAATATGGAAGAACGCTTTGAATATCGGGACCATAAACAAGCTACAGTAATCAATTATTTTTTAGACTTACCACCAAACGTTTTTATTCTCATTGACTGCATAAAGCGTTGGTCTCCTTCGAGTCTGAAATCAAGTTGCATTCATCATAAAGCTCTCCTAATCTTTTCCCCTCTCTCCATGTTTTTCTAAATTTCTATGGAGACGTTAACATACAACGTTTATAAAATGACATCCACCATCATTATTTACCCTTTTAAATTCCCGTCCATCATGATCCAGCTGTCTTAATGGTATCATAAGAGCGGTTCAAAATGTTGAGGACAGCCGTGCCAAAATGTGAAAAAAACAAACAGAGAATTTTATTGAGACAAGAGAGAGAGAGTCTCTAGAGGTGACCCAGAAAGAAAAAGAGCCGAAAGGAAATAGAAATGGGGGCGGAGCTATAAAGAGCACATTGCCACGTTGTGCAGCAGCCCGTTCAAAGTCTCAAATGAGTCATTTGTCTATTTGGTTTTGAACAAATTCGAACTTCAAACAAAGCCTCCCATTCCGATTTTTGACCTTTTTTGTTTTTTGTAAAATTGTAAGAATCAGTTGTTTAAAAAAAAAGTAAGGGCGTTTCTCACTATCAGGGGTGTACCTAATGTGTCCTTTTTAGTTCTTTTTTTTGTGATTTTTGCCTAATCGTTTGTCAACAATTTGATTATTCTGTTTCGATGACCGGAAACTTAAATGGGAAAAGTTTTTGAGTGAGTTTACTGGGGAGACGAGCTTTTTTATTTTAGAGGGAGTCTATTTTTATGGGCATTAAAAATCCAAATTAGATTTAGATATTAAAAAGTGTGACCACTTTGTGACTATGAGTAATTGATGTCTTTTTAATAAGTCACATTTTTTAAGGACTGTAAATTCTACAGTAACTTTCGAAATGCGAAATTTAATCAGAAAAGCTACCCAAGGTTCCAAAAAGACTGATCAGAAAATGCGCCCCAGCGATCTTGATTTAAAAAAAAAACAGGACAAATTCGCGTTTAAATAGAAATTATATTTATCTGGGCTAAAAGTTACCCGGGGCGGCGATTTCTGACCAGGCCTTTCGGAACCTTGAGACATACCGTATTTGCTGTAGAATACGTGCACTTTGAGCTCAATTATCTCGGGTCCCGTGAAAGATATCAAAAATTTGTCAGCTGATGAAATATGGGGGAGGAAATGATGAACAATTTACCAGTTTACAAAATTTTGATATCTTGCATAGGAATTAAGATAATTGAGCTCAAACTTGACAGTGTTGAGGCCCTTCTATTATAGGTTTTACGGTAGTAGCAGAAAATATCCTATCGTAATGCTATCCAATTAACAATCTATGACTTCAAAATTATCCCTTTTCACTTTAAACCCACTCTAAAAAACTGTAGTCTTCAAACAACAAGTCACAGTTTTGATGTTTACTGGTTTTTCAAAATCTAGTGAACTCTGTGATCTACTATTTTTTGGCACTTGCTTTTTTTCAAAAAATTATACTAATCCAAAAACTCACCGAAAAGAATCTGGTATCATCAGTGACCACTGACATTGAAATTTCTGACTGTGGAGGGTCCGCTTGCTCTGATTCGAGCCGCCGACGGACCGGTTGAACGTGATGATTGTGCTCCATTCTACTTCTTCTTCTTCTTCTTCTTCTTCTTCTTCTTCTTCTTCTTCTTCTTCTTCTTCTTCTTCTTCTTCTTCTTCTTTACTGCTCCATATCTGAAATTTCTCCATTGGTGTTGATCTTTTTTGTCAAAAATTTTACAGCTGACAGATAAAAAACATAGACGGGGAGTTTTATGTGTAAACCGTTAACTGTAAATCGTGAAGCTGGGTAGACACAGTCTCAAAAAGAAATAGAATAAGAATCAAGGAGAATTGAAAGATGAAAACACTAAATGTGATTGAGAAGAAGAATAGTATGGGGAATGGAGAATTAGAGATGCAAAAAAGAACAGGTTGTTGTTGTTTATTTAATTGGAGGAAGAAAACCTTCCTCAACTTTTGCAAGTGAGTAAAAACTCCACGAAAAAAAATTTTGTGACCCAACTAGTGACTCAAAGATGAAAAGAAGTGTGACCGTACCAATAAACAACACATATTTGTCATGAAATGAAGAGATAGAGAGAGATTGAGAGAAATAGAAATCGAGAGTAATCGGGGGTGCATATGCTTTGTTGCAAAGCAATGGTCAGAGGACCGTTGACAAGAGAGACCCGAAGTGGAGGAAAAGGAAAAAGAGAGGAACAGGATGAACAGGAAAGAGGAAAGAGGAGAGGTCATTTGAGACATAACACTCGTGCTTTTGAGAAATCGAAAGATGTGATCCAGAAGAACAACATAATGGGAGGAATCATGACACGAACTTCATGGAGAAGATCGAAAATTGATTGATTGAAAGTTTACTATAAAATAAAAACAGACTCAAAGAATAATATGAACCAGATATGATCACAATATGTTTTGACAAACTTGCTCGAAAACCAAAAAAAGTACGATAGTTTCAGTTTGGTGTAGAAAATGTTGTATAACTTGAAATAGCTGAAACGCTGCTCATTTTTTTTGGATTCCTCAAGGTGAGTGCTTAAAAATGAACTTGAAAAAGATCAACTATGCAGAGTGACCATCTAAAAATCGGAAATTTTCAAAATTCACCAAATAGGGGAATTCAAATGATCTTTGTGAAAAATAGAATGCTTGTTTCAAAAATCGATTCAAAAGATGACATGGACCACAGATGAATGAACCCAATACTAAAAGTTTTAAATAAAAATTTCGACAGAAAAATCAAAATGACCAAACAAAGTGGAACCAGCCAACACCAGCTGATTCTCACCCCATTGTAGGACAGGAAAGAAGATGACAATTCAATTTTCTTTAAAAGAAACAAAGTCAAATTTTGCTAAAACATTTGAAAACTGTTCTTTGGAGACTACATGTTGTTGTCAGACTTTTTGGACCGAATTCAGAATTCTGAATTCTGGAAATACCGTTTTCCGTAGCTGTCACTTTGGACTTTTTTCGTTTGTGGACAAAAAAATTATCAAAAATCGATTATGCTGGTATGGAAAAATCGGAACTGTGGAAGACAAAATCTGGTGGCCGTGGTCGAAGATCACACAATGAAAACTACAGTAACCTAAAAACATTTGTACTTTCCGGATTTATTTTCTCGTTTTTCTCTGCTTTTCTTCGAGTTTTGAGCAATTTTTTCCAGAAATGTCGTAAATTAAAAATTTTTGACCGTGAAAAAATTGACTGAAAATCGAGGAAACGAATTCGGAAAATGAAAATTTTTTAGGCTACGGTAGTTGTCGTTGTAGGACCTTCGGCCATAAATAAAAAGTAACTAGAATGAAAGATTTCCTCGAAAATCAGGATTTGACAGCGATGTTTCTAGAAACTAACTGGTCAGTTGGAGGACTATTCCAGAAAGATTCTTAAGTCACCATTTGTTTAAATGATAACATTGATAACAGAAGAATTGGCAGTAGATTCTACGAGTTTATAAGTTCAGATGCTGAAATGACCATTCGTAGATGAAATTCGTTGAAAAAATTCAAATTAGGGAGACAAAAGAGTCGATAAGAAGTCAAGTCATTCTTCTAATAGTTTGACGATTCCAGTCAAACTCACTCTTATCAGTTAAGTCAGGTGTTGGCGATTTTCGATGCGAAAAAACTTTATTTTTTAAATTGGAAACTGAAACCGAAAAGAAGACAATAAATTAGACAGAAAAACATTAACATTGAGAGGGGAATCACAAAAAAGATGGCCATGTTCTACTTGAAAAAAAACGGTAAAATGAAGGGGAGCCCGGATAGATGGTGCACACAACTAGATAGACAAGAGCATTGGGAGGGAATAGTAAAGCAGGGTACAATCGACTTTCTGATAAATACATATGAAATGATACCAACAAAAAATAAAAACAAAAACCCAGTAATGAGATGGAGAGTAACTAAAACTCGACGTGGATTTTGAAGCTGGAAGTGATAAGAGCTTCTGGCTTGCGAATGACGAGAACCTTCGAGTCACGGTCATACGAGAATTCCAATGGCTGGACTGGATCGGAGACTCTGGTGATCTGAAAAATTTATGATAAAATCCAAAACTAATAATGAAAAAACTCTTACCTCAACCTTCTTTGGTGAACTCTCAACACCACGGACGACAACTCTCTCCACCCAATTCTTTGCTGCGAAGTTTCCACCAACATGCTCTCCCTCGAGAACTGCGGTAGTACTGCTCTCTTTTTTATAGGTGAATGAGGCCTTGACAAATTTTCCACTCTGGTAATCGTGAGTTTGTCCATCATCCATGTAGATTTCTCCCTTGGAGTTTCCTTCAGAGTTAAGGGCCACGAACAGTGTGAGTGGATCGTCTCTCATGAGTGTCGCGGATCTACGAATTCTTTGCCACGTTGGAATGATGGTTCCTCCTCTTTGGTATACTGGAGTGAATGTTATTGGAGCATCCACATAAATCGACTCTCCACGAGCCTCGGCTCCAGACACCCATTCATACCACCTCTCGTTCTGTAAAAGTGATTCAGGATAAGTTACAAATTAAGCTGAAGATGGATACCTTGTGTTCTCCACGCGGCAATTTGACTTGTACATTGAAAGTATCCTTCTCAACGACAGGTCTTGCGAGGATTCCGTTTCCAACCATCCATTGCTTTTGCTCCTCCAGTAAAGAATCGTCATTCTCGAATTCATAGAAGAGTGGTCTCATTGGTGGTACACCAGTTTCTGTATGCTGCTGGAAGAGTGTGTACCAGTATGGAAGAAGAGCGTAGCGAGTTCTCAATGCTTCACGAATGATTCCTTGTGTTTGTTCCGAGAAGAGCCATGGTTCACGACGACGGGTGTCAATGTGAGCATGAGCACGGAAGAATGGTTGGAAGGCACCAGTTTGATACCAACGGGAGAGAAGTTGCTCGTCGGGGTTTCCGAAGAATCCTCCAACATCAGCTCCGACGAATGGGACTCCGGCAATGCTCAACGAGAGTGTCATTGGAGCAGCGATTTCGAGATGTCCCCAATCAGCAGTGTTGTCTCCAGTCCAGATAGCAGCAGTTCTTTGAGTTCCAATGAATCCAGCACGACTCAAAATGAACGGTCTTTCTTTTCCTCCAGTTCTTGCCATCAATCCATCGAAGGTAGCAGAAGTATACATCATTCCGTACATGTTGTGCACCTCACGGTGTTCGATTCCTCCGTAGTGAATAGATTCTTTATCCATAGTGATTTCAGGTCCACTGAACACTGATGGCTCATTCATGTCATTCCAAATGTGAAGATTGCTTGAGGATCCAACATATCTATCGAACGAGAACTGATCCTTCCAGTAGGATCTGGTATCAGGATGCCAGAAATCCAAATATTCACTGGCTCCTGGCCAACAATGACCTTCGAAGTTTGATCCATCAGTTCGCTTGACAAATAGTCCCTTATCCTTAGCATCCTTGTAAACATAATATCCATCGTCTTTTTTGATATGTGGATCAACGATGGTGACCATTTTTCTTCCGTTTTCAGCAACCTTATGAACCATGTCATTTGGAGTTGGGAACTTATGTTTATCCCAAGTGAAATACTTCTTTCCATCGGTATGTTCAATATCTAGCCAAATGACATCCATTGGCATATCATGATCGTCAAATCCTTTGTTAACAGCTGCAACATCTTGCTCATCGTTGTAGTTCCATCTGCACTGGTGATAACCAATGGAGAAAAGTGGTGGGAGAGGTGTGGTTCCGGTGAGCTTGGCGTTTTGGCGCTGCACGTCTTTCACAGTTGGCCCAACAAAGAAAAATATGTCAACGAGACCCGACTCAGACATAAAATGAGCGTCAAAATGTGGAACATTGTCTCCGGCGCCAACAACCTTGTCAAACATTTTCCCGAAAAGGCCTTTCGATGTGACCGAAGATTGAGTATCAACCCATGTTTCAGCAGCGTTGAACCACAAAGCTCCGACGGACCTATTCGCACGATGAGCAAGAATGTATGGAATCGAGACGTAGAGAGCCATTGGATTGTTCAACTCATATTCGAATACATCCAAATTGTACAGGCGGTATGGATCCGTATTTCCGACAGTGTTCCGAAGGGCAAAGGCGTCTGCGTGCTCAGGAAGACCATAGGCCGTTTTGAAGTTGACAAATGAGATATCGACTCCAACACTGCTAGATCCATGCTGCTTGTGATCGGTGAAACCCTTGAATCGTTCCTCCCAGAACCCATCTGGATACTCTTTTCCTTCTTCTTTGGTGCGGAACTCTTCGACCTGAAATATATATTTTTAATTGTTGAAAAAACCTATTCATCTAACGAACCTTCAATTTACCATCTCTGTTGACTTGAGCGACGAGCTCATCCAATTCATTGAAAATGTTAACAATGAACGGCTTGTAACTGACTACTACTTTGACTTTCTTGTTGCCTCCAACGATTTTTGCTTCCTGTGCACCATTCTCGACACTTTCAAAAGCTAATTCTTCTGGAACTGCGACAAATGATGGATTCGGTACGTATCGTTTTCGGATAGCAGTCTCAGGTTCATCGATTTGAACGCGTACTGTTGAGTCCTGAAAGAGAAATACATGCTAATTAAAAGAAACCTGATCTAAACAACTAGCTTACCGCCAATCCAATGACTTTGAGCTTCAGTGTGTTCTGCGAGTTTTGCAAGTTTGCGCTCCATACAGCTCCACTGTGGGCGATTGAATCAGCAAGCAGTTCATAGCCAGTCGGCTCCTGAAGACTCCATTTATGATGATTTTGAGAACCATGTCTCACTGATATAGCTCTGTGCTGCTTGCAAAAAGCAATCTGATCACAGGTTTTGAAATCCTCACGCTTCACCGTCTCGACGGCCAGCGGCGCCGCCAACAGAACGAGCGGAACTATCCAACTGCTCCCGACGGTCATTACTGGAAAATTTAGATGAAATGCTAAAGTGTTCGCAATATTTTCCGGGATTTTAAATGAGAAAAATAAGAAGGAAAACGAAATTTCACAGTTTTCAAGTTTAATGAATTTACAAAAAATTATCGTGTCATTTTCGTTATGAAAATCATCCTAATATATTCACAATGCGCCTTTGAGTTGTAGTAATACGGTTCTAATTTACAAGCCATATTTTTTGTTTCTACCAACTTATTGAATTTCCTACTTTTCTCACAGTCCTAAATGAAATAAAATATGGTCAGAATAAGACGACGATGACAGCCATGCATTGAATGCTGACGTTGACATAGTGCCTGGGTGTGTACATTTGTTTGAATGAATGCATCAATAGAGCGCAGCTGCTTGGTAGCACATCGCGCGAGTTTCGAATAGCTTGGGAGCTTGCTGTCGTATTGAATGCTATTTTTAAATACTTCTCGTCGTTCTTCTTTTCTGTAAAACTCATAAAATACTTTCAGGCGCAGCCACCAAGAATATCTTCGAATTCGAAACAAATCTGTCATCTGGTGAGTCTGTGCATTGAACAGAAAAAACAAGGAATCCAGAATTCCATAAACCAAAGAGCTAGCTACCACATAAATAATTCATCTGCACACGCTGTCACTTGCTCTCCGTTTTTTTGAAAATTGCTAATAATCCTGTCATATCCCAGTTCCTCACTTCCAGTTTTTTTTAAATGCATATCTGTCACTGATGTGTTTTTTTTTCTCTAAAAGTGGTAGTTTGCGGTGCTTAGCTGGAACTTTTCCTTCTTTTGTTCTCATTTTTATCGAGAGTCTTTCGCTGCAAAACTTTTAAATATCCTTTAGTGTTAGCTCCAAATTCTCCCTCCTGTTTACTTGGAGAAAAACTTTTCTGCACAAAAAAACCACAAGCAAAACAAACATGTCCGTCCGATAAGCTCATTTTGACCCATCATTTCTACATTTTCGCCCAAAGCAGATTCTAATGAAAAACGGGAGAACGACGTCTCTGCTGAGCTGTATTCAGTAAAAGACAATGAGACTCGACACTTCGCCTCAAAATTCACTACTTTGTTTCTAAAGAAGGAGAATTTATCTAGAGCATTCAAAAAATTGCACTTCCTTTGAATTTGTTTGATTCTAATATTTTCAAGGTGTTATTGCAAATTCAGTGTTTGCGGACTTGCACCTACCGTAATCCTACGAAAATATTTTACTCGTCCAATTTTTGTAATTGTAATTTTTTTTTCTACTGGGGTTATTCACCAACATGTAGAAAAATTCGGAGAAATGGAGAAAATTCCGCGAAACCGCGGAGAATGAACCAATCTAGCTGAAATTTCGAAGAAAATCGGAGAAAATTATAGAGAGCATATTCACAAAGTTTGGGGTCGCAAAATTAATTTTG